AATTCACCTGTCTTGGCCTGGGCAACGTGGCAGTATTCCGCCCACATACAAATCATGGAACGCTCTTCTTTTTATAAGGACTATTGTACCATGATTTGTTTGGTACACAGTCTGGATTCAAACGTGTGAAAATAAATAAATACTACCTTCCTCGGCCAAAATCGCTCATCGTGGTAGCCTATCTGGTGACATGCATGACACATGCCCCAACCAACGTACTCAATGGAGGTTGATCACTTGATCCAGTGGGCGACCGCGACTGTCGAAATCTCTGTCTAACCTCAGCATTGCTCGTGCGGCTGCCACACCAGATTCGTACAATCCTGCGTAAACAGCGGTGTTCAAACACCGACAGTCGATCTTTATCTTGTTTCCTTAATGACCAAGTTTCTGCGCCGTATAACAGGATTGGCCGAACTGCCGCTGTATTGGAGTGTTGTTTGAATTGATCGCTTGTTTTACTGCATCAATTGTGTTTTTATCATTGGTCCGTGTAAGACTTTAATTTTGCCCGTCGAACGATCTGATTGGTTCAGGGTTATACGTAAACGCCTGTGATTCCTTCCCAAGTGTGATTCGTGTCCAGTTTACTAGAGAAAATATATCGAGAGCATTTTATGAAGAACTGACTTTTGACCGCCGCGGCATACACTCGAGAACTCAGGCAGGACAGGTTGATATGTCACCATGACAAGGAACTCTCCGAACCACGTTATCAGTTAACGTATTTCGTGGACACGGCCAATAATAATCAGGTTCATCGTAAAATTCACCCAGGTCGTATCACGACAGTGGGATTTCTGAAGACGAAACTGATAATCTCCTATTAAAACATAGCCTAAACGCATTGCAGACCATCTACGCAACTTACCCACTATGCAAGTGTTCTGTTGATCCTTCCGACTGGGCGGTAATCGACTTTTGATCGATCTCAGACTGTTCTTCGTAAGCAGCTTGAGTCGTCCCGGTGGCAACAAACCAGCATTGAATGAAGTGTTCTGTTCCTCCTCGTTCATCGGAACCTCATTCATCAGATTATCTTCCCACGGTAGACCAAACACCTCACGCTCGGACGGATTAATTTCAAGCGACGGTGTGGTCAACGGAGAACGTATCCGACGAACTTCGTCTCCAATGTTATTACAGTGGTCCAGCGAGTCGAGCTCGATTGAGGGGGAATCTGAAATTGGGTCCAGGGTGATTTGATCCAAATCGGCCGTGTCCAGTGAATTCATTGCTCCTGAATCTTTGGACACCCCGGAGGAGACAATTTCTTCAGCGCATACGTCAGGCAAGCTTTAGGGGGGGGGTGCAGGGTGTGAATGAATCAAGACAATTGAGAGGGCAGGGGTGACGGCAAAAAGGTACACAGTGAGTGGTTTCTAGAATCCACGAAACCTATACATAAAAAGGTCTAATCAGGTGTTCGCCTTTGGAGGAGGTACGGTCGCAAGAAATTTCTTCCTAAAGTACGTCTACTTCTATTGCCCACTTAAAACCTAATTTGCCTGTAGTGGTCAAGTAGCTTGAAAACTACCGTAGTGATTGAGACGGAAGAAACTTTCTTACGAACCCAGAGATGTTGTTTGCACAGAACTATTATCAACAATTTCGAATAGCTCGCCACATTTGCCTGTTACTGCTGTTTGTAGTTTCCAGTCAGTAGGTCGACAATAGTAGGATGAATAAAGCCTAATGAACAGGCTTCTCTGGTTCATCCAAAAGACAGAAAATAAAATCACTGCATGAAGATGCGCGGTAGATAGTTTTAAAAACTGAACCTCAACTCCCCGTCTGATTGGGAATTAACCAGAATGCATCACAGGTGCTACTTACTTTGGGGTAGCCTCTTGTTACTCTAGGATTAACCGGCGTCATAGAAACAGACAGAGAGATAGGGACTACCTTTGAGGATTCGCAAACTCAGACAGTTCAGCGCATTGCAAATTACGACGCTCAAACGGATTGATCAGCACATTTTTCGCACTTAAAAGATGGGATCATCGATGAAAAGCCTAGATTTCTATTCAGCCGTCTTCTTCTTCTTCCTTCAATTGAACGAATCTAATGATATAAAAGATTTTCAGGAAATAAGAAGCTGTTAATCAATGGTTTGCCATAAGACACATAGAAGCTGAGGTGAGAACCAAACCGAAGTGGAAAGTTGGTGACCGAAACCCCACTAATATTTCGACTTCATTTTCCCTCTAGCTCAAACACACACACACACACACATGAGGTCAGATTTACCTTAGACGGTCTTTTCATGAAGGTAGTACATGCATGGAAACAGATACGAAATGTACTCAGTTGTAGCGTCCATTTGGAGCAACTGCGAACAATGGCCTATAAAACCGGCACTATTCGAATAGACACATTCGCGAAGGTTATGAAAGTAAACAAGGTATTTTAAATTATTTCTTTTCACACACACCCGACCCGGCTTTTTGAGTTGTTTCTTTTTCAAATGCCAATTCATGGAAGGACACACAATTCGTAGTATCCTACATCATTAATCCGATTTGTTTTCGAGAGGAGGAGGAGAGAACAACGAACATACACAAATTAACATAATGTTCGAAATAAGACAGACGTACACTGAGCTACCCAGATCGGAAGGTTGTTCAACGCTAAAAGACAATACGTTTTGTTCCGATTTCACTTTTCTCCGTCCGTTCGGAGAAGGGGCGTCTTTCCGGGCGGACGATTCCAACGCGGCTGAGTCGAGAAATAGATCGTCCATGTTAATCTCTGTCTCATCTCCATCTGGTACAGTATCATCCGCGGCAGCAGCAGCGGCAGCCGCCAAGAATTCGGTTAAGTCAACTGAATCCGGGTGAATCAACGATGCGGGTGTGGTGCATCGACTCAAATTCAGATCTTCCAATGGATTCTCGGAAATGTCAGCCATGGAAGTGCCTGAACCCAGTGTGACCAAAGGTGAGTTTGGGGTAGCAGCGGTTGCGGGCGCGTGGGTCAGCGAGGTCATTGTTAGATCTTCGTCCTGGGACAGGGTGGGCTAAGGAAGTTGATATAGAATGTAAGAGGGCGAAACATGAGACATGGGAACACACAAGAACATAAACATAAGGTAAAATTTAAATGAATCGTTTTCTTGTCGATAATAGTCAAAAGCTGAAGGGACGGGTGTGAAAATATCAAAACCCTCGTTACTTTATTTGCGTTGATGTTAATGTAGTGACAAATCAAGTTGTGCAACGCAATACAGCAAGGCGAACTTTGCTGGTCGTTACCAAGCTCACAAAATGAGAATATGCCAAGTGGAAAGTGTCTGGGCCTGTTGGAAGGAAAGAATCACCACGACTACGTTCTAACTTCGTAGATAGATCTACTCACGCAATTTGACTTGATTAAAAGTGACCTCAAAAAATACGCCATTGCTGTCGGTCCGCTAACGATTCTTCCGATACCAACCAACCAACCGATCCCAGCCTGGAGAAAAAAATCTCTATCTGCATTTCTACAAATCACCTCCAGCCGGAAGAGGAAACTGCAAAAGCGGTGAGTGTGGCACACGCGCGAAACAAGTGTTCTAACTGGCACAGTCCGCTCATCCAAATTGACCGAGAAAAGAAATTTTCGATCAGGACACTCAAACAACTTCATCACTCCAACCTACTCGTTTCATTCCACTCGCGCTAGGCTTCGCGAACATTGATCATAGACCTTCAGTGGAAGGATAACCTATACGAGCGAAATCACGACCT